CTGTCTTTACCTGCTGTTTTTCCCTCTATATCTGCGTGCTGCTCTTTATCTGCATCATTTCCCTCCCATTATTACTTTTTTTGCTCTCTTCCTCTGCCATTTTCTCCTCCTGTCCTCGCTATGCCCCTGTGTTGCTCTTCTTCCACTGTGACCATTTAAAGGGAATATTTACTCTCAAGATATTTTGAGCTTCCCTTTTTCAAGCGGGAGGCACTCAACTCAAGAGGATCAGGAAAGTAATCCATTGTAATTTTCAGAGGGGGCTGATTGCGCTCTATCTGTGAGGAAAGGCGCAGTGACTCAGTGGTTAGCACTGCTGCCTCACAGCACCAGCTTCAATTCCAGCCTCGGGGGACTGTCTGTGTGGAGTTTGCACATTCTCCCGGTGTCTATGTGGCTTTCCTCCGGGTGCTCCGGTTTCCTCCCACAGTCCAAAGATTTGCAGGTTGGGTGGATTGACCATGCTAAATTGCCCATAGTGTTCAGGGATGTGCAGGCTAGGTGGATGAGCCTTGGGAAATGCAGAGTTACAGCAATAGGGTAGGGGGCTGGGTCTGGGTGGGATGCTCTTCAGAGGGTCAGTATGGACTCAATGGGCCAAATGGCCTGCTTCTACACTGTAATGGGTTCTACGCTTCCCTAAAGGCGTGAGGGCTTGTTTAGATTCCCAGCCAAAGGTTTAATTTCAAGGTGGGACAGGAGAATGGTGATAAGAAAATAGCTTTGGGTACTACGCTTTAGATTTCATTTGAACATTTGATCTTGGCAGGAGTCAGCCAGGAGCAGGCCTCCCAACACCTGACGATTCTGAAGAAGGAGCTGACAGACCTGCAGTCCCAGCGTGCACTCAGCGGGTGTGAATCCTTCAGCGACTCCTCACACAGTAACAATTCAGCAAAACTGGTAATGTTTGCAAAATGTTTGCAGTTTACCGCGCTGGGTGGTTGCCATCAAACTCCCCGATGTCCCAGCCTGTTCATTCAAAAGATCTCATTAACTTTGCGTAATAAGTGCACTCATTTACTTAAGTAATTGATTTTTCTCACAGAGATGCTTAGTCATAGCAAAGTAGCAGAAGGGAACTTAAGTCAGCAATGAGATAATGCCAGCATTGGGGAAAAAAAACTCTTTGTAAAGTAAATGCTTTGAATGCTTCCTCCTGAAGTCCCCAGCATCACAGATGACAGCCTTCAAGTCAATTTGATTCACCCTATGTGATATCAAGAAATGGCTGAAGGCACTGGATACTGCAAAGACTGTGGACTCTGATAACATTCCAGCAATAGTAGCGAAAACATGTGCTCCAGACCTACACCTACCCCTAGATAAGTTGTGCCAGTACAGTTACAACAGTGGCACCTGCCCAACATTGCGGAAAACTGCCCAGGGTTTGTCCTGTCTGTCCACAAATAGCAGGACAAATGGAACCTGACTAATTACCAACGCATCAGTCTACTCTCAATCTTCACTACAGTGTTGGAACATGCTATCAAACACACAGTCCTCAACAATAACCTGCTCACTGGCACTCAAGGACCATACAGCTCCTAATCTTGCTCCAATCGTGGACAAAAATGTTGGACTCCAGAGGGGAAGTGAGAGTGACTACCCTGAACATCAAGGCAGCATTTGACCAAGTGAGACATGAAAGAGCCCTTGCAAAGCTGGAGTCATCGGGAATCGGGGAGATCTCTCCGCCAGTTAGAATCATACCAAGGAAGATGGCTGTGGCTGTCGAAGTTCAGTCACCTTAGCTCCAAGGCACCAGTGCTGAAGTTTCTCAAGGGAGATGTTTTATAACCAACCTGTTCAGAGATGTTGTTCCTCACCTTTGGAGTAGGTAGGACTTGAACCTGGGCCTCCTGGCACAGAGACAGGGTTGTGTCCAAGACGTAACCAGGTTCAGCCTCTGCATCAATTACCTCTTCTCCATCATAAAGTCAGGGTGATGATATTCACTGTTGATTTCACAATGTTCAGCATGTTTTACCTCTCCTCAGATACCAGAAAGACCTGGACAACATCCTGGTTTGATCTAATAAGTAGCAAGTAATATTCATGCCACACAAGTGCCAGGCAATGACCATCACCAGCAAGAGATTCCAAGCATTGCCCCTTAACATTCAATGCCATTAGCATTGCTGAGTAGCCCACTACTGTTATGCTTCTTACAGGAGGAATGCACTGGTAATCAGGCCTAACTACTTGATGAGCCATCCCAACAATATAAATGTGTCATCTAAACACCAAAATAGTCAATTTGTTTCATGCACCAGAAAAAGAACCAGCCTAAACTTGATTTCAAGAAGCTTCTTATGGACTGGCTCTTCCTCAGAATAATTACATCCTCACCAGCTGATATACGCTTAAATGAATCAAACCAAACCGCAAGTTCAGCAAAGATTTTAGAGAACAGCTAGTTGGTGTATGCACTGAGGGAACAAAAATGTGTGGTCTTGTGGTAGGAGACCAAGATTACTCAGAGATTAGGAAAAGATCTCAATGGCAACATGACTCATTTCCAGTGATTTTTCACCAGAGAGTGGCTAAAATAATGCATTCCCATTTTATCACATTGGCAACATGCATGAGATGTCAATGTATTTTGATGTGCCCAGCTTCTGAACTGTGCAGTAGAAAGATTCGAAAAATAGTTTGAGTAAAAACTGCAGGACATGACATGATTCACCAGTGCTGGTCTGCATGACTGTCAGAACAAAATTAAAGCTTGTGGTAATTTTCAAATCTAAAACCATGCAAGTGCCCTGCAGCAATTTTTGTTCATGCCCATGACAGTGGTTAAATGGACAAGGATAGAGTAAAGATGTGGATTGATAATGTGTGGAATAATGTCTAAGTGGCCTATTCAAAGAACACAGGTTGTTAGTGTGGTGCAGATTCAGATTCCATCGAATTGATGAGATCAAGAGGCATCTGTTCAGAATTAAAACCCATCTTACGGGTTGGGGGATGGTGGTGGGGGGTTGAAACATCTTCTTCAACCTTCCAAAGGGTGCCTCAACAAGACATTCGAATATCATGCTCAAGCCAAATGGAATTAGTGAATGGTTAAACAATGGAAATATACACATTGTCTTTTTGCTGATTTGGGTAGCTTCTGATGCACTTTGTGGTTTTCCGTGTGTTGGCCAGTGTGACATATACCCCAGAGACTTGAGTTCTTGTTGAGACAGATGTCTTGAACTTTATTTACAACACTATTTGCAAGGCTACAACATCACAGACTTACACACAAGGATCGGTGCTGGGTTCACTGCATTTTGTCATTTATGTAAGTAATTTTGATGTGAACATACAAGGTATGGTTAGTAAGTTTGTAGGTGATGCCAAAATTGGAGATGTAGTGGACAGCGAAGAAGGTTACCTCGGAGTACAACGGGATATTGATCAGATGGGCCAATGGGCCGAGGAGTGGCAGATGGAATTTAATTTAGATAAATGTGAGGTGCTGTATTTTGGAAAGGCAAATCAGGACAGGGCTTATACACTTAATGGGAAGGTCTTGGGGAGTATTGCTGAACAAAGAGACCTTGGAGTGCAGGTTCATAATTCCTTAAAAATGGAGTTGCAGGTAGTTAGGATAGTGAAGAAGGTGTTTGGTATGCTTGCCTTGATTGGTCAGTGCATTGAGTATAGGAGTTGGGAGGTCATGTTGTGACTGCACAGGACATTGGTTACGCCACTTTTGGAATACTGCATGTAATTCTGGTCTCCCTGCTACAGGAAGGATGTTGTGAAACTTAAAAGGGTTCAGAAAAGATCTACAAAGATGTTGCTAGGGCCGAAGGGTTTGAGCTATAGGGAAAGGCTCAATAGGCTGAGGGCTATTTTCCCTGGAGCGTTGGAGGCTGAGGTGTGACCTTATAGAGGTTTATAAATCATGAGGGGCATGGATAGGGTAAATAAATGAGGTATTTTCCCTAGGGTGGTGTGAGTCCAAAACCAGAGGTATGGGTTTAAGGTGAGAAGGGAAAGATTTAAAAGGGACCTAAGGGGCAACTTTTTCATGCAGAGGGTGGTGCAGGTATGGCATGGAGTGCCAGAGGAAGTGGTGGACACTGGCACAATTATAACACTTAAAAGGCATCTGGATGTGTATATGAATAGGATGGGTTTAGTGGGATATGGGCCAAATTCTGGCAAATGGGACTAGATTAATTTAGGATATCTGGTAGACATGGACAAGTTGGACCGAAGGGTTTGTTTCTGTGCTGTATATCTCTATGACTGTATAAATATGATGACATATATACAGCTAACTGACTACACAGACAGAGTGATTGAAGGTTGAGGCAGATGTCTTTAGATCTTAATGTCACAGGTCATGCGTTCATGTAACTATTTAAAAGCACAGGCTATACCATAATACAACATGCTCCCCACGCACCGCTCCCCAACACCACTTTGCCTTCAAAGAATGAGAATCCTTATTCCAATAAATATATGCAAGGATACATTTGATATGATTTGATTTATTGTCGTCATGTGTACCTAAGTACAGCGAGAAGCTTTGTCTTGCAAGCAGTACAAGCAGTTCATAGTAAACAAGGTCATACAGATTATAGGATGCTTAGACAGAGTGAGGCATACAGATTACACTGCACAGGAGATACACGAGGCAAGATCAATATTAACAAGATCAACGTTATTTGAAGTTAGAGAGTCCATCCATCAGTCTAGTAACGGCAGGGAAGGAGCTGTTCTTGAACCTGTTTGTACATGTGTTCAAGCTTCTGTATCTTCTGCCTGATGGAAGAGGTTGTAGAAGATCATTACTGGGATGGGAGGGGTCTTTGATGATGTTGGCAGCCCTTTCGTGGTAACGAGAAGTCTAAATGGTCCATGAATGGAAGGTTGACTTCCATGATGATCTGGGCTGTGCAAGCAATCTTCTGTAGTTTCTTACACTCCTGGGCAGAGCAGTTGCTGTACCAGGCCATTATGCACCCGGATGGAATGCTGTGGTACATCTGTATAGGTCGATAAGGGTCCTTACGACATGCCAAATTTCCTAAGCTGCCTGTGGAAGCAGAGGCGTGTTATACCTTCTTGACTGTCACTTCCAGGACAAGTTGTTGTTGCTGTGGAGCATTGTATTGTCCTTTGGATTTCTCTGGGCAAATGAATGCCCTCCACATTTTAACCCAAGACCCTCTGATACAATATAGCTTGCATAGGTCATGAAAGACTTGACACTGGGTGGATGAGAAAAGCCACACCTCATTCAAGAATTGGATTTTCCACTGAATATGTTGACAGCTGCTCTCATTGTTCCAGAGTCCATGCAGATGCTGCCTGTCTGTTACAATTGCTTCAAACTTGCGTCATTCTTCTGGAGAAGTGCCAAGGATGTACTCTGAGGGTTGGCCAGAAGTACCTTTCTGAAGGACTGAAGAGCATAGAGCCAACAACCAGTACCTGAAGCCTTTCGGTTGTATTAGCTTTAGTGAAATCACATTCCTCACCTTTGCATTGATACCTGCCTACGAAATGGCCAATCTTTTCACCTGGCTGTTGTGGTCATGACATGAGCTCAAGCCTGTGTAGCTTGAAATTGATTTGAGCTTTAATGTGATCTGCTAAAACCTGAAATTTTTTTTTTAGGATCTTTGTAGTCATCAGAAATAGCAGGGAATTTACTATTTTCTTAACCCCTCAGTGTCCAAAACAAGAAGCAATTTGACTGACTACCATTCTTTGCCAGCTATCTGCTGTTCCTGAAACTAAAGATTTTTGCTTCAATCAACTGAAGTTCTGAAAGAAAGCCAATGGATTGTCAATCCATGTCGAGATATTTACTTCCATTTTTCTTTGTGTATCATTGTGCCCTTTAAAAATTGCAAACACAAATCTATATTGCAAGGAGTGTTTTATTTCTTGGC